AGGCCCGCGGGTCTGGATAGCCCTGCCTCCGTCAACACCAGGGAGACTTAGATCACTGAGTATATGTATGTGATCGACAGCTGGCCACATTGGTGGCTCACTTTTTTTTCCCATATAACTTAACCTCTTGTTCCACAGAACAGAGAAACTGTATGGAAACCCTTGGCATCCGATGCGTGGCCTGATATTCTTTTGCCCACTAAATGCTCTCCAGGAACCTTTTTCATCCTTTTGCTTCTTTTTTCTCCTCCTTTCTTTACATCACTGTCTCTCTTTCTTCTTCAACGAGTACTGTGGGTCTGTCTCCATCGTAAAGCCCAGAGCCATTCAGGTACTCCTCATCTTTGTTGTACTGCTCTGGTCCAGAAGAAGGCATGGAGTTTTCAGAAATGGAGCCATTTTTTACATAACCTGGCAAATTCCGGTGTCCATTGAGGGTCCCTGGTATAAGTCTCGTATTGAGATGGAGGGCAAGTGCCCCTCTTGTGGCTACATTTGTGATGCTGGTGTGGGAAACCATTGGTCCATAACTGTAGGTTGTGCTCCCACTTCGTGCTTTCCTTTTAAAGTCAAGTGCTAATGTCCACCTGCTCCATGACTTCTTTATTTCTGCTTGGACCTGAGAGACAAGGCAGGAAAAAAAGCATGAGTGGGAGGAGTGAGGGGCAGAGAGTCATCAGAAGGAGATAGTATCCACAGACAGAAAGGTGAGGAACTCTCTGGAGTGTGAAATTGGAAGGAACAGTAAATTCACATTAAAACTGCCCTTTTGAAATGAAGTATTTGACACTGGGAATCTTGAATGCCTGAAAACATCAAGCTGAAAATATAGACTAACTCTCTCCCAGGGTTAAGGGAGACTGAGCAGCACACCCAGGAGTGAGATATCTCAGTGTACCATGAGCACCAATATAAGCGGGATGAACCACCTTTGGAGGTGCCTGAGTTTCTAGAAACTTCCTCTAGAAAGGAGTTCGCTGACTGAGTGTCCCACTTTTAGATGGCTAAAGGTAGGATGAGATCAATTCCCCTTATGCTATGGATTTCATCTTCTGCTGTAGAACATAAGCAGCATATCTGTAGTTGCATTTCCCCTTAAAGTCCATAAACTTAGGCCAAACCAGCCTTATGCTGGGCTGTGAAAGTAGCTCTGTTCTTTCCTGCTGTGCATCCACCGACCATCTAGTTTCTTAGTTTGCAGCCAAAGAAGGAATTAATGGAAAAAAAGACATCAGAGCATATCACTCTGGAAATAGAAAAAAAGGTCAAAAAAGTCTGGACAATCAAAAGAGCTTGCTGGTTAGGGAGCTACTCTATCAATCTGCTTTAGTTCCTGCCACAGATCTGAAATTAAGCAGCACTAAACAGCACTTGTGCTGGGAAAAGAAAAACCACATTTTTTTTTCTCCATTAGCTCCTTCCAGTAGCTCATTTGTTGGTGACATATTGACCTGGGTGTCTTACATGACCAAAACCGAGGATATGAACTTTCTGTGATGTGGACTGACAGGTCTTTCACTGAGTGCAAAACAGGGTTGTGTCTCAGGAATAAGTGGGGATATGCTGATGTGCACCCACTTTACCACCTGTGTGTGGAACTAACCTAACAAAGGAGGGAAATAATTAAGAAGCTGGTCACTTACCTCTCCATTGCAAAAACAGTATATGATGGCAACAAAAAATCCCTAGAAGGAAGAAGAAACAACATATTACTGTTAGTCTTGTTACGTGTGAATATCACTTTTGTGCTGGTGCTGCCCAGTGTCTCTGTGTTCCCCTGAAATCAATGACATTCATAATATGCTGCATATAATATGCATAAGAAACCTTGCATTGTTCAGTGGCGTATGAGAGACAGATAAATACAGCCATTTCCCTGCAGACTATGGGCAAAGTAAGTAGGCTATATAAGCCCTCTGGGTCATGGTTTAGCTAACAGGTCTATTTTCACCCCCAGATCTTTTGCAAAGTTTCTGAGATGGTGATGGGTGCCTGGGAGGGCGGTGGGGTCTCCCTCACTGGAGGTGTTTATGTACATATTGCATAAACGTTTCCAGTGTTTTACCTGAGGCTGATCCTGCTGCAGGATGGGAGGGTGGAAGATAACCCTGATGGGACTTTTCCAGCTCTGGCTGCAAGTGGAGCAGCCCGTGCATGGAGCAGAACTGGCTGAGTGGGATGAGCAAAGGAATTCAGATGTGAGCAAACCATCCACATCTTTTTGTTGGCCAATAGTTTACCCAGGTCTTGCTGAGGTCACCCACTATTTTATCCCATCTGCACCCAACAGGAACTGTGGAAGCACGTGACTGCAAGCTTGGTCCCCACCTCCCTTACAGTTTCTCTAAACTGTCATCTGGCCAGATCCACTGTCCACCTTTCATCATCCACACTGGTCAGCCACGACGATAGGTAGAAGCATGCGAGCCAAAAGTTAACCTCTCAGGGAAGGGTGTGCAGTGACTATCAAACACCGCGCTCCTTGCAGAGAGTTGTGTATTCTTGCTGCTATGTCTTATATAGGACCAGTCCTGTAACTGAACCTGCCTTTTGCCCAAACCTAGAACTGAGGAATCCATTCACAGGACTGAAAGACAGCTTGGGACAAGCAAATTGGAAGCTGATGTGAAAAAATATGTCTCTGTGGATCTCTACCAGCTTACGTCTAACCTGGATCTTAAGGGATTTATTTTGTGGGGCAAGTTATCTTTCAACAGGAACATTTTTTTATTGGAGCCTTTATATATTGTGTTTTGCAAATACAAAACATACTTGATGCTAAAATACTGTGAAATCACCTTCTGAATGAAATCTGGTGTATTGTAAAAACAGCCCTGCTTCCAAAGACAACCTTGCACTCTCATTTCCCTCCTCTCCCCATTGAAATTCTCATCATTTGCCCCCATAGTTTAACAGTTACAATACCTGGAAAGAGTTGAACAGCATTTCATAGTGCATTTGAACTTGCCAAAGAATCCCTGACACGTCTGTGTATGGCATAGCCATGAAAACAATATAGTGAACGCCAAACAGAGGCATAAGGACGAGGGTAGATTTCAGCAGCTTCCTGTAGCAATAAGGAAAGAGAAAGACACAGAGGAAATCAGTGGATGGAGTGAACCTCCCAGCTAAGCTCGTCCACCTCATACCTTGGGCACAAGTCGTGCATAATTTCATTCTTGCTCACATGTCCCCTTGGCTAGGCTTGGATATCTTACATTTACACAGGCACTGTGTCCACCTGCAGTTTCAAACCGTTGCTTCTCTGATGGCATGTGACACAACCCAGTTCATCCTCCAGCATGTCTTGATGTGCTAGTCTAACCCTCTCCACATGCATGTCCCCATGTGATGCTGCTGTAGATACCGGAGATAAAGACACTAAGACATCTTTTTCAGCCTCAGACCATCCCCAGCTTTGGGTCAGGATCATGGGAAGAGGGTGGAAGGGTGACCGGAAAGAAATGTGCACTGCTGCTTCCAGCCCCCAGCCTCTGACTGGCACTAAGTCCCCTTGTCCCTAAAGGATGGTTCTGCTTCAGATGACAATGACTGGACACAGTCCTATACAACCCACAGTAACTGACACTGCTTGAGCAGGGGGGGTTGGACTAGATGACCTCCAGAGGTCCCTTCCAACCTCAACCATTCTGTGATTCTGTGATTCTGTCTGCTTATTGAGGCAAGACACGAAGGTCCACCCTGGGTTAGTGCCTCCTGAGCAATGAGCAGGGCTGGTGGAGAGGGAAGTGCATCTAGGAGCAGAATTACTCTAGATACCGAGGGGAAGAGGACGGTGTGCTATGGAGTAAGAAGGAGCTTACTCTTAGGAGGTACTTTGGACTGCAGTATCACTTGGAAAGCCCCTTTTTAAAGAAGAAACTCCATCTCAGCATAGGACCTATGTTGGAGACTGGGGGGAGGTACAGTACGACCCCAAGTACTTGGCTGGGTTTGCTCCTGAGGGAACCAGCCTTGCTTGGAAGTGATGCTAATTGAAGGATTAAACCTTCTGCCAAGAGTTACAGCAAGTCACCAAGTTCAGGCAATTATTGAGAACGGCAGACATCACTACCAGAAAGACCTGGTACCTTTTCTGTCCAGCAGCTGGAAACCACTGAGGGAATTTTAACACATTAAAAGGAGAAGGCCCCATCCAAACCATAATTAATAGCAAGCTTCAGCCAGGGAGAAATAAACAAACAGATAAATCAGAGCCCTGACAGGGCAGCAAAGAAAAATGGAGAGGTGTTTTCCTGCCAAATCTCATTCTGCTTCAAATGAAACGTCCTGTGTTTGGAGAGTGAGATGGTAGCAATGAGCTCATGGTTTGCAGCCCAAATCATGCTGCTCTCCCCCTCTGCATGTGTCATGCTGGTCAGTCCAGCTCAGGAGATCACAGGAAGCCTCAGGAGCTCTCAAGCAGCCGAGGTGTCTCAGCAGTCTGCTTTTTCTGTCCAGTTTTGACCATGCTACAAATATACTAAATTATAAAAAGAGAAGAGCTGGCAGAACAAAAGAAAACAAAACAAGCAAGGAAATGTCAGATTTCCAGCAAAGAGTCAGGAATCTTTTTTCATTTCAGCAAAAGCGTTGAAACATCCGCTGAAGGGCAGTTTTAACAAATAGACCAAGTTTTACAAAGCACAGGAGGGAAATAAATAGAAATAAATAAATTAGTACAAGTTTTAGGGGCTTCAACAGCATAAGCAATGCTTTTATTTTTGCACTCTTGGTTCAAGGCCAGCACAGTCCCTTCCAAACTGGCGGAAGAGACTGAATTCCTCTCTTTAACCTATGAGGCAGGTCCCCCAGGTTGGATTTGAAAGGTTTAGGAGATGTTTAAACTGCTGTTGATTCATTCTGCATTACCAGACTTGCAAGACAGCATTCTTCTCACCTTATTTTAGGTGTCTACAGTGTAGACACCATGAACTAGTCACCCTGGGCTCCCTCTGTAGTCAAACAAGGACTTTGACATCTCCCAAAAAGTGGACTCACCTGTACTGTTGTCTTGAGTCGCACCTCCCTGCATTCGTCTCTCGTAGCTTGGTTGCTAGGACTCTGATAATATTGATAAAAAGAATAAAATTTACCTGGAAGAGGTGGGGAAAAAAAAACGACAGAGAAAGGATGACTGTTAAAAAAGATCCAGATGATGACAGTGTTGTTTAGTCAATGCTTCCCCCAAGATGAGTCAAGGGGCTGTGGCAGTGACCTGATCATGCTGCGCATGAAACTCCTCCTGGGACAGCTTGTCCTATAGAAAGGATGAGCTCCCCAGGAAAGACCCAGTGTTCGGTGGGAGCTGATCAGCTGTGTTTAACCTGAACGGTTGAGAGGGAGAAGGGAATGGCTTTCTCTGACAAAGAGTGGGTGTCTCACATGGGAACACCTACATCTGAGCTAGCCAGCCCAGCAGACACCGGATAACTGGGTATGGTATCAATACGTGAGGCAGTGCTTACCAGGCATTTTGAGGTATGGACTACAGACAACTCTCAGTATTTTTCACATCATCTTTTTTTAAAACTCCCTAAGTGACATGGGTCATTTTCATGGCCTCATAAACCTCTCAAAGTTAGTTTGAGGTCTAGGGAGCAGAGCAAAATCAGGTTATATTTGTCTCTTGCAACCCCGCCAAGATTAAGATCCCCTCAGGCTAAGAGAAGCATTAGTAGGATGCCTTTCCATATTTCCATGTGCAAAAGGAAAGAAGAGCAAACAAAACGCACCATGACGAAGACACGGGGTAGACCTAACTAGAGAAGACAGATCAAGAATACAGAAGGGCAATATAACTGTAAAACTGTTGTATGTCTACTGCCAGCTCTCCCTCTGGACAAGTGTTTAGGACGGACCAGATAAGGACAGCAAGGAAGTAATACCTACCTCCCATGCAGGGAGCCACATCTATGAACCTATCTTGTGGCCAGCTGCTCAGCCGAGCTAATCTAGTCCTACAGGAGGATGCTCATGGTGACCCATGCAACAAAAGGTAATGGCAACATCTCATGGGTACACTGCCACTTAACAGAGATGAAAAATGGGGAGATGGCTGAGGGATTCTCAGCTTTTTGGAGCTCTTCAGAGACTGGTTTCGCTGGTGCTGGGATTATACCTGCTGCTGCCCCAGACAAACCCATTCTTGGGACTATGGCAAGGCCACAAGCAGAACCGTTGTGTAACTGTCTGCACTGGGCAGATCCATGTTGCTGGGCTAACGCTGATGCCTATGGGTTTCTCTGGAGGCTTGCAGCAGTTATTTGGCTTCTCAGATGCCAGTATAGCAGCATTTCAAGGAAACAAATCACCATGACACACAGAGGCTCATAGTTTTACGCCAGAAGGGACCTTTGTGAACCTCTAGTTTGATCTCCTGCAAAACACAGTCCATAAGACCTCCTTGTATTCATTTTTGTTTGAGCTATAGCAGATCTGGATTTCAGTGTTTCCATGACGGAGATCCTACCACAACCATTGGTAAGTCGTTCCAATGGTTAATTATCCTCACTGTTAAAACAAGTAGTTCCCTGAGCCACTGAACGAACATGGTCTGATTTGCTATGGCTTTGTCTTCTGTGGTTGGATTCCTTCTCCTTTAACGAGGTGCAAGTTCATTTTGAACAGCTCTCCTCTGTGTTAAAAAGGGGGGAAGGTTGTACTACACCCTTTCTCTTGAAGGGGCATTAGTAGAATTTCTCTCCAGTATCTTATTTGACTGTTTTCATGAGGTTTGTGGGAATTTAACATCCATGCAACGCCATTCCCTTAGTTACATTTGGTTGGAATTTACTGACTGGCACACAAGTTATAAGGGAGGGATGGATAGACAGACAGGCAGAGAAGCACACAGCCTGGGGGCATATAATTCATTTTCATTGGAAACCAATCTGAATGGAAAAAAAAAAGGCAGACTTTGTTTCTCATATGAGTTTTCCTAGCTTCAAAGGCTCAAAAGTGGGACCTTGTTCTGCATTTGTCGGCTAAATGGAAGATGTCCAACCTTATCACAGTCAGGAGGGAAACTCCTCTGACTTCCTGAAACATGTGCTAAGTTTTAAAAAAAATCCAGACAACTGAATAACATCAAAGCTAGCAGCAGAGTGGAGGGATTTTAAGCCCCTCAGCCTCCAAATTCTCTGCAAGTACATCCAGAAAATGCATAACTTAGTCCAGCAACATATGACCAGCCAGTGTGGGAATTGAGAAGGCAGCCAAGTGAACAATAAGAACCCACAGAAATTAAACAGAAACAACCCACAGAATATTTTTGCATGATAAATAGCTGCATTTGCAAATAACCAGGGTACAAGCCCAGCACAGCCTCATGGAGAAACACTATTTTTACAAGGACGAGCCTCAATTGAGCTCTTTCTCCTCTGCTAATTGGGCTTTAAATTAAATGCAATGGGGTTGCTGGCATTCATCTAGTTGAACTACCTGAACTTTCTTCTCCATCCTACTATTTCATTTCCAATGACCACGATGTGGGTTTGGTGATTCGTTGCTTCCAAGGTGCACAACTAATTGCTAAAGCCAGGTGGCAAATTCTGATGAAGAAAAAGCAGCTCACCTAATTGCACATATGAGCATATTCACCTCAGAAACTTTCCTGCTGTTTATATGCAGATGGTCTGATTTTCTTCTCACCCACACTGATCATCTTCCAAGGCCTCCTGATTTGTGAGCCAGAAGGAAGTACACAGAGCTTGATGCAAAACCCTCTGAAGACTATAAAGAGATTCTTACTGACTCCGCTCAGCTACTTGTGGATGAATGAAAAGGGGGACTAGGATGTGTGGGAGTGGACAACCTCTTTTGCATGCACTCATCTAACCATCAGAAGATGGAGTAATGGAGAACCATAGAGAAAGAGAGAGGGAGGAAAGAGGGTAATGCATGAAAACTGTGAAAGCAGGTTCTCTAGCTAGGTAGGACCCTGCTCAAACAAACACATAACTACCCACAGAATTGCCCTTGTGCAGATAATCACATCTTATAATGACCTCTCCAGCTCGTGAGAGCTCAGTCCTGTGTCTGGATAATGTTGCTCATATCCTTTCTGTCCCCTCTGGCTCCTGGGTGAGGCTGAAGTAATGCTCCATCAGTGATTAACATCATGTCATAGCTGGTTTGGTTTAACTTTCGTCCCCACCTTTGAGGTATCCCAAGCTTTTATCAGTTCAGAAAGACGAGTCTGAAACAATCTGATGACACCGAAGCACACCTGGGGAAAAGGTTTGGTCCAGCTACGGAACCCAAATTCCGGTTCTTCCCACTGGAGATGCCTGGTGAGAATGTGTTATGACCCCTGAGGGTTTCCAGTATCACATGGGTTGGAAATATTGGCTTGAATATTTGTTTCATTAATGATTTTAGGGTCTTACATCTGTGTCATTTTTCTCTCCTAAGCAAAACTTGAAGTTGCTCATAAACCCCTCTGCCGTACGCAGCTATCAAACTTACAGGCAGGTCAAATATAAGGTCCTTAAACTGGATATATGGAGATTCCACACTATCAAGGCAGGAGCTGTGTTAACAGGGTGATTAGAGTAGGGCAGCCTGGCTCAACTCTTCCCACTGAGCCTGCAGCGACCAAAGGCACTGCCTCCCACCCCTTGCAATCAGCCAGTACTCACCACGATAGCTGCCAGGATGGGCACCTGAATAATCCATTTTAAATTGCCAGCACTCAAGTCCCAACACCTGAGAAGAGATTGACATCTCATCAGGAAATCATTGGTTACAAAGAGCAACAGACTCAAGTGTCTTGTTGGCTAAATCCACCCTGGAAGGATGGGTTCCTCCAAAGCCTGGTGCGGTGGAAGGACCTAGCTCTAACCCTGCCTTCAGACAGCATGGTTTCGAAATAGCCCTTCTGCTGTTATACTGTTCGAAACTGAAACCACTACTAAGTGCATTTAAAGTTATGCTCTCCAGATGGTGGAACAGCTTTTTCCACAGTCATCAAGACTTGTCCCTTCTGGGCAGGAACCCACCCTTTTCCACTTCTTCTTCACCTCCCTACCAGAAAAAAACTACATTAAGAGTAATCCAGCTCTCATGAAACAAGAGAGGCTGAAATGGCCTAATATTACCCCTTGGAACAAACCCTTTGCATGGGGACAGGTCCTGTCTGAAGACACGGTGTTGGGGACGATACTGTGGTTCTACATTCAGTTCCTGGGTTTCCTTCAGCCCTGCTCTTGCAGTAAGACCCAGCTATGCCGCTGGAGACAAAAGTCTTTATCTCCTTTTCATCTTCAGCTCTCATCCAAGTGAGGACTGGAAGGGTGGCGTGGATGGTGGGCTAGATGTTGGGCTACGGTCCTCCGTCTGCCAAGAAGGGGCTGAACACTCTTTACTACCAGGCGCTTAAGGGGCTGAACGCTCTTTCCTCCCAGGCGTTTCCAGCAGCCATTGAATAAGGTCACTCAGTGTTAATTACTCTGAATTCTCTCCAACCACGGAGAGAGGAGTGCCACAGGCTTTTCTTTATCTGAGCCAGACAGTCCCCACATGGCAGCTGCAGTTTTCATTTCACAGGCCAAATGCTGCCCAGGCAGCTATTCAAGGAAAGCGAGAGGCAGGGGCAGAGAAACCACCAGTGCTGACTGAAAGGCTCTACGAGGATGAGCCTGTGCCAATGCAGATGCGTCACACTCCAGTAGCTGTGCTGCTCCGTCCTTCCAAGCCTGGGGCTGAAATCCCATTTGGAAAGCAGTCTCCTCCCAGGCAAAGCCGTTTGAAATGTTGCCTGGGGACCCCCATGCTTTTGCTGGCAGATCGTGGGCAAATGAAACCCGTTATGTGGTTATTGGGGGAAAATGTGATTGTTTTGGGGTTTGAAGGTTGGATGCTATGGATCCTTCATTCAGCGTACTGTAAAAATATCAGGCCGTGAGGGTGCATGTGTAGGACCAAAGAAGCAACTGATCCAGTACCTTATTTCTGACCATAGCCAGAAGATGATATTTAATGTGGAACAGGCAAGCAGGTAGTGATATTTTTCTAGAATATTCTTCCAACACTCTGCAGTTCAGGACAGCTTCCTGAGCCAGAGCATTACTGAGTATTTAATACATCTGCAGGAATTTATCTTCCTTGAATTCATACAAATGCTTTTTAAACCTAAGGACAGGCTGGCATCCACCCCTCCTGCAGTGAGGAGTTACAGCTTCACCACCTCATCAGCTCCAAACCGCCTCCTTTGACTGTGCTGAACCTGCTATCTCCCAACTTTATTCCCATTCCTTCAGGATGTTAAAGATCCCTGTCCCATCCCTGCCTGGCTCTGAGCAGTCCCCTTTAGCCCCAGGGATAACAGCTGCAGGTGCTCACATTTGTCAAATTCTGTAAAAAGAAAGGAAAGCTGGGAAAGTTGCACCCACCTTACCCTTCCCTGTCACCCCCCCCCAAAAAAAAGTTTGCTGACTTCATAGTAGAAATCACTTCTGGCTTTGCCTGGTTCCTTTTTTCCTTTCGATTCACCCACAAAGGCACCATTGCCAAAAGCCCCACAAAAGCGTCACACGGAAAAGGGAGAAAAGAAAATCCGATGAGACTTACTCTGTGTCAGCTAGAGTGGCTCTCACGCTGGCCCACGCTGTAACAAATACAGCAGGGAGTCCTGCAAAAAAACACAGGTCAAACGGGGTGAGTAGGGGGACTGGAGGGCTCCACTACCATAAGCCCAGGTGGAGTGGGCTAGAGGAAGGTAGAAGAAGCAGTTTTTAAATGTTCAAGCATGATTTAGAATAGGAAAGCCTGATCTTGGTCTCACATCTCTTCTGTAGTCCAAATGGCAAACTAAACAGTGGTAGGGAGCATTTTCTGGAAGACAAATGTCATGGTCTGGACATGTCCAACCTACTAAACTCTCCTGGCTGCCAAAATGGAGCAGCTTGCTTCGCCACGTTGCTGACCAGGAGTGGTCCAGGCTTAAGCTACCTCCTGGTTTATGCTTGCGAGATGCTCAGGTCTGGGTCTGAGATGGGTCATGGACTCGGCAGGATAAATCATCAAGTTCCCGTGCCTGACCTCTAGCACTATTTTGGAAAGACATAACCTGTAGTGCGTGAACCTGGGTGACTGATACCTGCTCTAGCCAATTGATTTGGTTTGAAGCAGAGAAGGGTTTCCTGCAGCACACCTTTCCCAAGACATTTGTTCCCTTCTCCTGACATCAAGGAAAGGTCGGTCTGGAGTCAGGCTCAGATCGTATCTCCAAGCACGGGGCTGGATGGATTAGAAGCTCTTTAAGTGTGAGAGACTTGCTGCATGAAGCAGATAAATGTTAGAATTTAGGGTAACGCTTGCAAAATACTCTAGCCAAAGGTTCACTCCCAAATGAACCATCCTATTTTCAGCACGGTTACACTCGGCATCATCTTTTCCCTGTGAAAAGTAAAAGAATCACCAATATCCAAATGCAATCTTCTATTTATTTTTTTAGGGTCCAGTTCTGCTTTATTTGTACAACTGAGTCCCCTACTGGCTTCCCTTAAAAGGCAGAATCAAATCCACAGTAGCTTCCACAAATTCAAGAAGAATAGCCCCTTTCAGGTGAAAAAAATTTTAAAAAATAAATAAAGGCGACATTTATCACCAATGACTGTAAATATGCTGTTCACAGTCTAAGCTTACCGGGGCTCGGCATGCATAAGCACACGCTTAACTTTCAGCATGCACTTAAGTCTCATTAGAGTGCTTAAAGGCTTTCCTGACCACGGACGCTTTCCTGAGCTGGGGTGTGGAGCAGGGACGCCTGTCTCATACACACATGGACAACGGGGCCGTTATCTTGGTTGGAACCTTTAAATGCCACGGTAATATAAGAAAGCATAAATAATTAAACACAGAGCCCCACTCAGGACCAGCGCAGCAGCGCTGCCTACAAAGATACATTTATAAGGAATGCACCCTGCTTTACAATCCCCTGCGACGGCTGGCATTGGAAAGAAAATACTTAACCTATTGCACTGGGAACCCGTGAGCGTGTTGAAGCTGCAGGCTTGGGGAGGTGATGATTTATTGTAACAAGCACCATCTATTTCCTCCTCGCTTTTAATCACCTATCTATGAAAAATACGTGCATGCTCCGAACTACTGGCTGAGCTATCAAAGGCTTAAGTGCATCTAACTTTGTTGATATCATTGGTGATATTCCAGTTTCTATCAACTGAGAAGCTGGCCATGTTGCGAGGCTGACATGCCTGCTGCCTGCCTGCGTGACGGTGGATGTTCACCCGCTATTGTGAAGCTCAAAGTTTGAAAGACGGATTGTTTCAGAGGTGTAGATGCATTTGACACGTACTTGTTCTCCTCTAGCCTGTCCTGCACTTCAGAAGAGACACTGTTCCCTTTCATACTAATCCTGTGCTGTGTTCAAGGTTTCTAGCAACAATAAAATATACAGAGGAAAATAATTATACCTAAAAAATCCCTGTGTGTGCATTTATTGTGCCCTGTGCGCTGTTGCCTCACTCCGTTCAGGCAAGCTTAGGAAAAGGATTTTTGATATTTTCTGCAAAACACACAAAGCAAATTCCTGGCACCAGTTTTATTGCTACATTTGTCTTTCTGCATCTTTTACATCGTTCTTTTTTTGCAATGTGAACAAGTATAAATGTTCTTAAATTTTCAAAAAGTGGTATGCATCCTCCCCCTCCCCTTCCTCTGCCCCATTTTTTCCCTCTCTCTGTGTCAGTGTAACACGGAGTGTCTGGGCCATCAGGTAATTTCTGGAGTTCAATCCTTTCCTCCCACTCTGGTAAGCTAGTCTTTCAACTTGGAGAGACAGAAGGCTTAGCTTTGCCTCCAGCATCTGTTTTACTTTCAGAGGGTGACTTTTTGGTGTCTCCTCTTGAAAGTCCTGGTCTGTGATCCCCCAATCCCTCCTGCTGAGCACTCACAGTGCCCATTGATGGGAGAGCAAGTAACCAGAACATCAGGACTGATGTCCTCAAAGTTAGACCTCTAAAGATATCCACAAAGAGCAAGATACCCAAGAGGAGTATCTTGGGAGCAGCTTTGTGAGCAGGAAAGTCACATGTGATTCGATGTGTCATAGAATCATAGAATCATAGAATGGTTTGGGTTGGAAGGGACCTTAAAAATCATCTAGTTCCAACTGCCCTGCCATGGGCAGGGACACCTTCCACTAGACCAGGTTGCTCAAAGCCCCATCCAACCTGGCCTTGAACACTTCCAGGGATGGGGC